AAGCCGTGAGTTGGGACTGCAGTCAGCTCAAGACTTGACCAGGGCCGAGAGGTTTGCTTCCAAGCTCACTTGCATGGTTGCTGGTGGGCCTCAGTTCCTGGCCTCATGGTCTTGCTATTCACACTGGGGCATCTGGGGGTGATCCAAGAGATACCATGAGGGCCCAAGACAGAACCTTCAGTTTTGTATATCCTGATCTCAGAAGTGACTTACCATTTTTTCTGCCAGCCCTGGCACAGTGTCGGAGGGGATAACACAAAGGTGTGAATGCCAGCCCACAGGGAGGACAGGGCTCATCTTAGAGGCTGGTCACCACACTTGCGGTTTTGGCTCTCTCTTTTCACTTTATTCAGTTTCCATTTATGAGTTAGCTTCTACCTATGACTAATAGTTCACAAATCATTCTTCTGATCACTAACTTGATCTCCTGAGTGCCAGAGCGATTTATCCAACTGCTTATTTACCTCTTCTAAATGTCTACAGGCATCTCTATGTGGCCCTTCCCATGCTCTCCTTGGATGCCCCCTGAGCTTCCATCCTACTTCCATGCTGACATGTAGCTCCCTGCACTAGTTTTATTTGATTCCTCCATTGGACTATAGGCTTATCAAGGGTGGTGACTGTGCTTTCTTTATTTTGGTGCTCACAGTACTTAGCAATGCCCAGCATGAAGTTAGTGCTCATCAAATATTTCAGCCCAAGTGATAAATTGGGTGGTGGGTGGATACCTGGCCACAAAAGGGTACCTGGCTCTACAGCCATTAGCCCTGCACAGTGCCAGGGCCTCATCTAGCAGGAAAGGGTTTTTTCACTGGCTTTTGGACTGAAGTCTGTGCTGGTAGGAATATCTTTGTGGTTTTGAACCCAGCTCTGCCTCTCCAGTCATCTGAGCCTGTAGTCTTCCTTATCCTGCTACCCACCTTCCAGAGTGTGGGTTCTGGAGCCTGTTTGGACCCATGGGCCTGTCTGATTCTGTTGTGTGCCTGAGTCTGGGGACAGCTGGATACAGGACTCATAAGCAGTATATGCAGCATTCTGCAGAATGACTCAGACCAAGTCCTGCACTTTCTCCCAGGCGCCCCCTCCTCAAGCTTCCTCCCCAGCTGGGTGTGTGTGGGGAGGGTTTTGTCACCTCCATCATCCTAAATTCTCAGAAAATTCTGCAAATCCTTGAGTCTTTCAGATAGAATCAGCTGTGCCTGCAATGCAGCCTGCTGCCCACTCACATTCTCGCACTCAGCTGCAGACGCACTCGGGAAAGACAGGAGCCCAGCCAGGTAAGGCCAGGTGGACACCAGCTCTGCCCAGGGCTGGGGCAGTGTGGCCCAAGGCGAGGCTGCCCAGGCCGGGCTCCGTGCCCTGGAACTGCCTGCCTTCCCTCCTTTTCCCTTGTGCTGCTGCTTTTTCCCTGGCTCCATCTGAACTCAGGCTCTGTTTCTTCTCTGGTTCCATAACACAGCTTTTGGGGCTATCAGAGCCCTTGAGACCCCCTCAACTCAGCTCCTCATCTTTCCAAGGTGCAGACTGAGCCAGAGAGGGGACAGACTTGCCCAAGATCACAGCTTCTGTTCCCATCTTCCTAGTCTCTCTCTTTCCTGCTTTTCAGTGTTTGTAGCTATTGCATAGCTCTTCCCTAATCTGTTTCCTTTCCATTTCCTTTTGCCCTCTTTTTCCTTTGTACCCAGTGGTGAAGGCCATTCACCGCCAAGATGACACTAATTGAGGGTGTGTCCATTTGGCTTCCCCTCCTCCATATCTGGGCATCTGAGTTGATCAGCACGGGAAGGGAAATCCATGTGGACAGTGCCAGGCATAGGGGCCATCCTGGGCAACCAGAACCTGCTGTCAACTCTGGCCCAGGCGGACCAGCTGACTTTGGGAGTAAAGCATGGGTGAGCATGAGAGGAAAGGGAGCCAGAGTCTGGCCCTTGAAGCTGTTCAGTTAGGCCCAGGAAAAGCAGGACCTTGAATGGGGCGGGGCACGGAGGGAGATAGATGAGGCCTGACAAGTCTCTCCGCACTTCACCTGCAATAGGCCAGAGCTACTTTCCAATACCAGTAGGGCAGCTTTCCTGCAAACCACCTCCAGGCAAGTTTAGATAAGCAGGGGGTGAGAACTGCTGTTAAGTCAGAGAAGGGATGGCCGCAGACTTGCTGAGATGCAGAGAGGTGCTATAACTCCAGCCTTCCAGCAGGGGATGCCCTGTCCCGACAAAATGTTAGTCCTCTTTTTCCTGCTGCCCCTCCAGCTAAGGAGACCTATTCCCCAGACACTTGATGTGGTGAATCTGTGATCACAGCGGGGTGAGGGGAGAGGAGTTCCCCATGGGTCATAACAAGGGTTAGAATCTGGTGTCCTGTTTCGGAAATGGAGAACAATCAGAAGCTGAAGCCCTTCATCCTCTCCAATTGAAAGGCTGTAAATATGACCTTGCAGAAAGGAAAGAGAGCATGTGAGATGTGAGCATGAGCGAGCAGAGTGAAAGCAGCTAGGATAAAAAAGGGAGGAGGTCTGGTACCTACAATTGGTGGTTTGGGAAATACAGTATCAGAAGAGATGTAACTTGGAAACCAAGGCTATCCTCCCTCTGAAGCAGGTCACCTTCATCATCACACCGATATGGACTGATCTGAAACCTAAAATTCATTCCTCCATGGTTCCCGAGCAGCACCCATTTGCTTATCATTTTCAGATACTGACCCCTTACTCTAGGGAACTGGGTTATGCAAGGGTTGCTAAGAAACAAGGGGAGATGTAGTAGGGATGGAGGGGTTGCTTAGTAACCGGGAGTTCCCTCCTATTAGAGTGGCCACAGCAGGTCTGGAACTGATGAAGGTCAGCAGACAGCCCACACCAGAGCTTTCCATGTCTGTTGGCCTCTTGGCCCAGAGCTGCCAGAGCCTGCCTCTCTTCAGCTGCCTGGCACTGCCCTGCCTGAAAAGTACACCCTGAGTTCCTGACTGTCCTTGACAACCCCTTGCTCCAACCATTCCTTCCCAACTGCCTCAGCAGGAAGCCCATCAGATTCCTAGATTCAGGACAGGGCAGGGCTCCTGAGCAAGCAAATGAGAATCTCATGGTGGAGGAGGTAGAGCCTCTGGCTCACATTGATGCAGACTGAGAAATTTGGGGTCTGGGTGAAAGAGGGTTCCCTACAAAAGCATCTCTGGTTTATTTCCTGTTCCCCAGGAAATGTCTTCATATCTGAATCTCCCATCCAGGTACTCACCCTGCTCTCCAGAGGAACACACCCTTTCCTTCTGAGGGTGTGGGTCTCCTCACTACACCCAGGCTCCTCATAGCTTCTCTTCAGATAGCTTTACTCAGGCAAGCCTGGCAGGGACACTATGCAGGCAGTTGGAGCCCTGTCTGCTTTCTCAGCCACGAGTCCTCTGTTCTCTGCACTTCAGGGACAGAGGTGTCCCTGCTCTCTCGCAAACACTCTGGACACCCACACCCCTCCCTCCACTCCTCCTTCAGTTTGTCCCCTGAGACTAGAGCACCTATCCCCCTGCTTCCCTTGTCAGGCCTCCCTTTGCCTTCCAGGTCCCATTTATCTGCAGCTTCCTTAGTGATGATTCTCCCAACCCAAGCAAAATGTGCATGCACCCCTATACTCTGCTGGCCTGGCTGAGAACCCCTTGTCTTGGGAACAGGTGGAGCTGTCCTCTAGGAGCCCACTGATCCTCTGCTTCCTCTCCTACCTGGCAGGATACTCCTGAGAAACCCTTTGTGAACTGAGTGTTTAAAACAAAGCCCTTTGCACAGAACATCTCTGAGAAAGTATTTGAGATGTTAGGAGATTTGCCTCTGGGAAGAGGACTGGGAGATTTAGTTTTTGAGCTAGTTTTGAACAGCTTGAAGTTTGGAATTTACCATGAGCAGGTACTTTAAAACATTTTTATTGTGAAATATAGCACATACATAAAAAGTATATATTTGTTATATATAAAGGTATATTGGCCAGGTCTCTCTCTCTCTCTCTCTCTCTCTCTTTCTATATGTATGTATACACATATATACATACACATACACACAGAAGACATACATATCTGAATGAACACCATGTAGCCAGGTCTCAGTCATAAAACAGAACACTGCCAGCACTCCAGAAACCCGTTGGGCTGCCCCTCCCAAACCCTTTGGCCGCGGAAATACCCACTCTCTTGACTTTTGAGAAAATCAACTGCTTTGCTTTTCTCTGTCGTTTTATCACCTGTTTGAATTCTGAAACAACACAGTGGTTGTTTGGACTGTGTATCTTTTAGATTCATTTATGTTGCTAATAATGAATTTTCATAATTGCATAGTATTCCATTATGTAAGTGCAACACAGTTTGTTTATTCATTGTCCCTGTAGTGGGCATGATGGACCTTTGGCTTGTTTCCAGTCTGAGGCTATGAAAAAGGTTGCTGCTGGGAGCACTTGAGTCCAGGCTCTTGGTGCACACTTCTACAGATGCGAAATGGCACCATCCAAGGGCTGCATGTTCAACTTCCCTGGAGAGTGCCAAACTGTTTTCCAGAGTGGTTGTGCTTACACTCCCTCTAGCTGTGAGTGAGAGTTTCTGTTGATTGCTACTTTTCCACTTAGAAGCAGTTCATTAAAATCAATAATTGGTGTAATTATTTGTTTGGTGTCTTGCATCCTCACTCCACTGGGAAGCACCATGTATAGAGCTTGGGGCTGTAGTTCACCAGCATCTGCTGCCCGATGCCCGACATGCTGCAAGTGCTCAGACCTCACTTATGGAATGAATGGGAAAATAATCCTGTCTACTGAACATTGGGTCTCATATGCTAATTCATGTTTTATAAACAAAGAATTTTTATGAAGAGGTTTTCTGACCTGAGGCTCACATATTTAAAATTCACCCTGACTGGCCCTACCCAGGCCACTTTCTGCTGCTGACCTTGTCTGTCTGGAGGAGTTGGCAGTAGATTACCATCATTCTCACTGACGGCATCAGTGGTAAGTGAAGTTCATTCCTTCCCACAGGGCCGAGTTCAGCAGAAAGCAAATCAGGTACCAGTGGCCATGCTCCGGGTCTACCAGGGCCTGTTTCGTCCCTATGTTGGACTCTCCGTGCGGTTAAGCAGCAGTAGGATAGACCCGAAGGGCATCCTGGCCAATCGGGTAGCTGTGGTCACAGGGTCCACTGATGGGTGAGTGTTCTGATTGTTCTGTAGGTCCTGACCCCTCCCAGGGACACTCGCTTCCACAGAAGGACCTCAGAACTGTAGAGCAGGACCCAGCCTTGTTGATTTCAGGGCTGGGGAGGGAAAAAGGTGGGGAGGGGCTGAGACTGTCTTGTTACCTTTGTCCCTGCTACAGGATTGGCTTCGCCATCGCCCGGCGTCTGGCTGAGGATGGGGCGCATGTGGTGGTCAGCAGCCGGAAACAGCAGAACGTGGACCGGGCAGTGGCCACACTGCAGGGGGAGGGGCTCAGTGTGGTGGGCACTGTGTGCCACGTGGGGAAGGCTGAGGACAGGAAGCGGCTGGTGGCCACGGTGAGGGGCTGCCGGGGTAGAAGGACACATGGAGGAGAGCACACAGAAACCTTCCCTCCCTGCTGGGCCCTGGGGAGGACAGGGATGGGGTCTCAGAGGCCCTAGAACACATCTTGAGGTTGTGATTGCTCAGGCTAACTAAGAAGACCCCATCGTTCACACTGACTTTCTGGAAAGTTGCCTTTTCTTGAGAGGACTCTTACCCTCATCCCACACCCTAGAAGAACTATGGTTGAGGAGCCATCTAAAGTGATTTCTCCATCCCAGCCCCCAGAGGGATTCCTGGAGGAGGCCTTCCTCCCCCAAGGACCTCAGGACCAGACAGCCTGGCCCTGGGCCTATCCAGGCCACTTACCTTCCTGAGAGTTTGGTTCTCACAGAAGCCTTGTGACGCACTGGTTTGAGACAGTACCTAATTACCAAGTTTTGCCTCAGTGCTCCCTGTACCTGGTTGCTCTGGGAGGGCAAGGCCTCCTCAGGCCTGCTCCACACTCACCCCAGCCCTTTGGGCCACCCCTCCCCTAGGCCCTGGAGCACAGCTCAGGCGTGGACTTCCTGGTGTGCAATGCAGGGGTCAACCCCCTGGTGGGGAGCATCCTGGGGGCCAGTGAGCAAGTGTGGGACAAGGTAAGAGTCTCTGCGAGCTGGCTGAGGGGTTTGAAGTGCTCTTCTACTAAGACTCTCCTTTCCCCTCCAGACATTGCTGTAAAAACGCACTGACCAATGGTCCCTGGACTGTGCCTTGATGCCACTTTCTGGTTTGTGTTTTAAAAGCCAATTCCTATACTCTTTCTGCTTTCTTTCCTCCTCCCATCCCTTTTGCCTTTATTTGCTCAGCATATATTGACTGAGGGCTTGCTGTGTGCCAGACCTTATGTTAGGCTCTGTGTAAGCCAAGAATGGTAAGATTTCCGCTCACTGTCAACAGTTCATATTTTTCACATCCTTTGGTGGAGCCATATCTTGGGGGTTGTGCTCCTTGTTGGTGATCCATTCACTACCCCTGAGATTCTCCTTTCTTAGACTAGGGCTCCTGACTAGTCCTCAGATGAACTTGCATATCAGTCATGCCTGGACCCACCCATCAACTTCCCATGGACTCAGATGTTCTGACCCAGTGCAGTCCACTTATGGGCCCACAGGGTCCTGGAGAGACCTTGTAAAGTGCCTTGGGGTCCTTCTCAGGCTTTGCTGATCTCCTGCCACTGCTTCTCCATTCCCTCCTGTGTTTTTTCCCTAGTCCCTCTGACAGACAAGGTATGTGCTGATGGAGTCACGCTCTTCCTGCCATTGTTAGCTCCCCTGTGCCCCAGCCCTGGGCCACCGCACTTCCTTCTTCGTCCCCAGCCTGCTGCGCTCTGCCAACATCATCCTCACGCTGGCCCCTGCTCGGTCTTTGCCCGTGGCCTGGCACCCTTTCCTACATCCCCATACCTGACCTGAAGTCTGAGCTCCCTGTAGCCAGCTTCCCAGGCTCCTCAGCTGCCTTAATGCCTCTGAGGATCATTTGTGATTAGGTAGCTGGGTGTCATTGCTGACAGTCCCCTACCCATTCTGAGCCATTTTCCCTTTTGGAGTTTTAGTTCATGGGGTCATGCCTCTCTTTTTCTCAAAACTGTTTGACATCTTCCTTCCTGAACTTAGCTGCTCTTGCCCACAGCCCAGCCTTACTTTCTCTGCTGCCCCCTATTCTTCAGGGACTTGCAACTCACAAACAATTCTGCATCCCTGGACAGCAGTTGTCCCCTGATCACATTTGCCACCACCTCAGAGGCAGAATGGTCACAAAGCAAGGTGAGAATTCCTCTGATGCTCTGCTTTGACCTGGATGTAATTTTCAGTAGGTGTCCTATGTGGGGAATTCCTCTGTCTCATCACATCCTTGTGCTTGTTTGAGCATCTCCCCAGGCAGACCCCATTCTCTCCAGCTGGTTAGGAAGCCGCTCATCTCCCATCCCCACTACTTTCCTCCATCCTTTCTCTACCCATGGATCCCCTTGCCAGCATCCTCCTCAGGCTCACAGTCTGTATTCAGGACTTTGTGGTACACATAGTTACTCTGCCTTCTTTTCTAGCAGGGAAGTTTCTTCAGCAAGGAAGGGACTCACCTTTTTTTGGCTCACATTTGGATCCAGAGTCTAGGAGGGGTCTCTTCTCAGGCCATCGCCCAGCCTGATACCCTAGGAGCTTAGGGAAGACATCTGGTGGTCTGGCACAGCTCTGTTTTGAGCAGAGAGTGACCAGGAAGCCCTTAGGCTAACTCTCCATTCCTTCCTATCAGGGTCCTCCCTTTAGACAGTTGAGAAACTTCTTGCACTCCTGGGGGTCATCTCTAGCCCTGCTAACCTGCCATCAAAGGGGCTTCAGTAGCACTCAGTGGAAGCGTTTCCCCGGCTCACATCCAAGGGGATGAGCAGATATGGGATGAAGGAGTGGGAAAAACACTGGCCAGGCCTGGTCAGTTACTGAAGTGCAGCTTCATTTCCTAGACATGCAGGGCACAGCTGACCTCATTCAAGATAGTGCCCCACAGGTGGGATCCCTGGTGCCAATTTTGTCCCTGCTGGCACTGCGTCCTAGCCCCCAGATCCATATCTGCATCTTTCCTTGCCAGTTCCTCTCTTCTCCCCTGTCCCCAGATCCACTAGACAGAGTTCCCAGACAAAGGCCCAGGGACCCTTATGTCTGAGCCAGACCCAGGTTTTAGTTGTAGGCAGGATCAGCACGGGCACCTAACTCCCAGAATGGCAATTCTCTGTTATGTCTCCCTCTTTTTGTGGCTACAGGAACGTTCAGAGCCATGTCTGCAATGAACTGGTAGATGTGGCCCTCACAGCACACATTTCTGTGAACAAATAACAGAATAATGTTCAGTCCTTGCCACGTGTTCTGAACTGTAGTCACCAACCTCTTGCTTTTTCTTATTTTTCTACATTTACTTTTCCTAGTCTTCATTTCTTCACACATACCTATTTGATTTGTTGTATGCTGTAGCCTTGCAAGCATGCCTTAATTTCTAGTGGGACAAGGTAAGAGAATAAGCAAAAACAGAGACAAAGATGACTTTTCCAGAAATCTCTCTTGCTCCCAGCATCCACTTCCCCACCATCTGTTCTGCCTTCCATCTTTTTCCAGTGGCCTCTGCTTATAGCTTTTATCTCCACAGCCAGAACGTAGCCCAGTTTCTTTTAAAAGCGTGAATATCTCCTTCCTTCACCCCTGTCCTGAATCACATTTCCAGGGCTTTGCTCACAGGCCTGTCACTTAGCCCACCTGCCTATTAAACCATTAGCAACTCAGAAACACATTTTGCCTTGGCAAGAAGAGGGATTAATCCCTCAGCTCTGAATACATAGGGGTTTGCTACCCAAATTATAAAACTCCAAGTGTCTTGTAGAAACAGGCCCCAGGCCAGCCGTGTCCCTGTGCTCCCATCACGCCCGTGCTGTGATTTCAGATCCTGGACGTGAACGTGAAGGCCCCAGCCCTGCTGCTGCGCCAGCTGCTGCCCCACATGGAGAAGAGGGGGTATGGCTGCAGGGCAGGGGTGGACATGACTGGTGGGGGCTGAGGGTATAGAGAGCACAGGGCACAGCTGGGACAGTGGGGGACAGAAGAGTCTCCTTGGGGTCCCCACTTTCCCCCTCTCTGTCCTGCCTCACCCTTCATGCAGCTCCAGCTCATGGGTGAGGGTGACAGTGCAGGCGCTCAGGCGCTCTCTCCTCGGCCTTGCCGCTACCAGGTTGGTGCCATCACATCACCAGGGGCTGCGCCTCAGCTTCTTAGCCTTGTGGGCTGGTCACTGTTACCCTCATCTCCTCTGGTTCTCTCACAGCTAGACAATGCCTTTTTACCAACTTACTGCCTGTGACTCGGTTTGCCCCATTTTTCCCCATGGGGAAAAGCCCACCCCAGACCCTTCCTCATTCCCTGCTTCTCAGTCTCCAGGCACCCTGCCTCTGTTCTAGATCTTGCTACGTGGCTGCACTCCACACATGCCCCAGGGGCCTCATGTCAGTCTCTTGGGCCACCACCTCCCTGGGGTCACAGCTGCCCCTCAAGCTCCTGTTTGAAGACACACCCTTTAGAAAGGTGGAAATGGTCTTAGATAGAAGGAAAAGTTCCATATTGGTGTGTTTTGTCTCCTCCTGCCCCATGTGCTTCTCAGAGGTCATTTACAGGTAGGCACCCACCATTAGCCCTAGGTGCTTCTTCACCAAGTCTGCTCTGCCCCCTCCCCAAGCAACTAGCTTTCTACTCATCTCCTCCCCAAGGAGAGGCAGGAGAGTATAAAGGTTCTGAGCACGGACACTGGGGCCAAGAGATTGGGTTGGAATCCCAGCTTTGCCATTCGTTGGCTATGTTACTAAACCTCTCTGAGCCTCCATCTCCTCAGTGGACTAAGGATCATAACAGGGTCTCTGTTGCTGTTGTAGGGATCACATCCTTCAGTGACTATACTACCTAAAAGTGTACAGTTATCAAAGTCGTACATCTTTTTTTATAACTGCAGCATCTCAGTCAATAGTAAGCCATTAGTTTCCTGTCTCCTCTAGGAGGGGTGCTGTCATCCTGGTCTCCTCCATTTCAGCTTACATGCCCCTGGTGGTGAGTGCTGGCTCCGTGTGCTCCTGTTTGGGACAGGGTGAGGGCCCCCAGAGCCCCACAGGGGCAGTACCCAGGTCAGACCCCCCACCTTACCTCCTGCCACCCTGGGCTGGTGATACCCCTGTGGCTGCTGGATCCCACACACCCAGCTTGTGTTCTCAGGCCGAGCTGGGGAGAGTGTGTCTGAGCTCTGGGCTTGGGCCAGCTGTGATCTTCTGGGCATGAGAAATCCAACCGATACTTTCCTCCATGCTCCCCTGTCCTCATCCCTGTCTTGATTCCCTTTTCAGGAGCTGGGTGCCTACAATGTCAGTAAGACAGCCGTGCTGGGCCTCACCAGGTCGCTGGCACTGGAGCTGGCCCCCAAGGACATCCGGGTGAACTGCTTGGTTCCAGGACTAATCAAGACTGACTTCAGCAGAATGGTGAGGCCTGGGGCATGTCCCCTGTTTCTCAGTGGAACTCTCCCAAAGGCTAAGAGATAAAGAGGTGACTGAAGCCTCACATCAGCATCCTTATAGCTGAGGTCTTCCCTGTCCTCTGAGCTCAGCCAGGGTCCATCCCTCAGCCCTAAGAAGGGCAAACCTGCCTTGGCCTTTCGCCCAGGTAGCCACCTTGGGGCCCTACCATGTGCCTGTGTAGTAGCACTGACTCTTTCCTCTCTTCCCTTTGCCAGTTACATGAGAATGAGACTTTCTGGAACAGCCTCAAGCAAATCCAGAAGCTTCAGAGGCAAGCAGGGTGTGGCGCTTCAGTGGTCTGGGTCTGGTTGGGGAGGTGCAGCTGTGTCTATCTCAAGAGCAGACCCCTGCCTGTGTCTCTGCCATTCCTTTGGCTGGAATCTGGGCCCCAAACAGCCCTGGAGGCTGCAGGTAGCTCTGCTGAGCCCCCCTGGTCTCCCTGTGGCACCACTCCCACTGCAGCAGCAGAGCCAGGGCTGAGGTCACAGATGCTGTGTGTTCTGTCCTCCTTCCATCCAGGATAGGGCAGCCTGAGGACTGTGCAGGACTCGTGTCATTCCTGTGCTCTCCAGACTCCAGCTACATCAACGGCGAGAACATTGTGGTGGCTGGCTTCTCCCCTCAGCTCTGACCAGGTTCGGGGCCCATGAAGCTGTGGATCTGGGCCTTGCAGGCTGAGGGCGGGTGAATGAGGAGATGATTAAGGTCTGCAGAGAGAATTTGAAGCTCCGCCAGCCTAGCAATTTGGGGGCTTGTTCAGGCCAGGCTTGAGGACGCCTCTCCGGTATCCTTACCTGCATGACTGTCGTTGATTCAGTGGCTGCGATCCAAGCAACATATGGGTTCTTGGTGTGGAGCTGTGGAGAGTTTCTGGGGCTGGTGTTCTGAAAGAACTGTAAGGGGAAAGAGTAGAGACTCAGGCCCCTGAAGGATCCCAGCTCCTTCTGTCTGTCATTTGTACTTTAAACATTCCTTCCCTAAAATAAACTCAAATTTATCCTCAAGTCTGGAGACTCCCAGTAAGGGTGGAGTCGAGGGCAATGTGGCTGAGGACAGGCCTCTTGGCTCCTGCTTTCTGTTTCTTCCCTGGGTGGCTGTCACGGAAGCCCCAGTGGTGGGGAGTGAATGCTCCCAGCAGGCTCTGAGCCAGGCCTGGTGGATTCTGAGCAAGGCTGGAGGGGTGGTGGGTGGAGGTGGCTGGACGGATTCTGGGGTTCCTCCTGAAGTTCCCTAGGCTAGTGGTTCTGAATGTTTTCTAGGCCTCTGAGAATCTGAAGGAAAAAGTTGTACCAAATCTTGCATACAATTCCAGGTTGAGAGCTTCTAATTTATAGTCAGGAGAGAAGAATAGATGCTAAGCTTCATCCTGGGGTTGGCTCTTCTTGGCAAAGGCCCTTTCTATTATTCTGAGTCATATTTGGGACACCATCCTCCTATGGGGATGTGTCCAAGACTCAGCAGAGTCTAGGAGAAGCAGTAGCCCTTGGGGCACCTCTGTTCCTCTCTTGCAGTCCATGTCATGCCCTGAATTGGTCCTAAGGGAGGATCAGAGGCAAAGCTTCCAATCTGACCCCTGACCTTTACCTCACTCAAGCCCCTCACCAGCCAGCTCCCCTCTCCAGACTCCCTGAGAATTGGTCTTTGTCTTGAGAATAATTCAATTACAAAAGCATTTATTGCTCCCTACCGCAAATCATGCATCGGGCCAGGCACCCTGGAGAACACAAATATGAAGAAGACCCAATCTCTCTCAAGTTCCTTCATTGTAGTGGAAAACAGGGGCAAGACACTCATCAGTAAATGAGGCAGACTGTATTCCAACAGTTTTATTGAGTATCATTCTATGCTAGGCACTGTTCTAGGAACTCAGGGTACAACCCTGAACAAAAGATCACTGCCCTTACAGAGCTTACATTCTAATGGGGGAGACAGGCAATAAACACAAACACATAAAAAAAAATTATACAGTGTGTTAGCAGGTGATAGGTACAAAAGAAAAAAGACAAAGAGGGGGGCAGGAGTACAATTCTGCACCCAATTCCTTCCCACACCAAACAATGCTGCACCTACAATTCAGCTCAATTCTGACACTATCTACCTGGAGATAGAATCAAATCCCACAGGTTGAGGGCTCAGTCCTACAAGACTGTTCCCTGCTTTCAGATGCCTATTGCCATTCCATGCTGTCACCTGTGCTTCTGACTACAGATTGGAGGTTTCCAGGACCCCTTCCTTGAGTTAATTAATTCGCTAGAGCAGCTCACAGAACTCAGAGAAACATGTTACTAGATTACTGGCTTATTATAAAAAAGATCTAACTCAGGAACAGCCAGATGGAAGAGATGCATAGGACAAGGTATGTGGCAAGGGGCAGAGTTTCCAAGCCCTAAGTGCACTGCTCTCCCCAAATCTCCAGTGTTCACTGGTCTGGAAGGTCTCAAACCCTGACCTTTTGGGTTTTTATGGAAGCTTCATCACCTCAGCATGCTTGATTAAATCACTGGCTATTGGCTATACTCAACCTCAGCCTTCCTTCCCTCCCAGAAGATAAAGGAGTGGGACTGAAGTGCCAATCCTCTAGTCACATGGTTAGTTCCTCCGGCAACCAGCCCCCATCCTTAGGTATTTTCCACAAGTTACCTCATTAACATGAACTCAGGTGTAGCTGAAAGGTTCGTTATGAATATCAAGAAACCTGTATCAGTCATCACTTAGGAAATTCCAAGGGTTTTAGGAGCTCTGTGCCAGAAGCAGAGCTGTGAGGTCTCCCTGGGGTTGGGACTTGTCCAGGCCACAGGTTCAGGGCCCAGGTGCCACCTGCAGTGGCCTGACTGAGGGGTCTGAGGTAGGGACTGGAATCATCACTGAACCAAGAGCATAAAGTCATGGGGCTGAAGGTTTCAGGCAGCACAGATCAGGTTTACAGGCCTGGAAGGGTTGGGGAAGTGGGGGGTGGGCCATGTGGTGTGGTAGGAAGATGCAGACAGGCAGAGCAGAACAGAATTCTACAGGTGGGAAAGCCAGACCCAGAAAGGTAGCCCACTGGAGGGTTCCGCAGCTCTGGGAGAGCCAAGACAGTGGATGAAGCCTGTCTTCTTATCTCCAGCCCCACAACCTTTCCTACATGCTGCAGGAGATGAATGTGGAGAAAGACAGTGAGGGGAGTCCCTGGGCAGGCGAGGACAGCACCTCTTAGGCCTGCAAGGAAAGACACTGAGAGCGGCACAGAGGAATGACAGGGGTTCCCTGGGGGAGAGAAGCTGCAAAGAGGCTGTGGGAAAAAGCAGCCAGGGAGCAGGTGAGGGCAGCTAGGCCCTCTCCTCCCTGCAGTGAGAGTAGGAGATGCTGACTTCCTGGGAAAGAGCAGTGGGGGTGTGAAACCAAGAAGGAGGGCCCCATTTCTGTACCCAGTGTAGGAGGAGGGATTCAAGGCGTGGGTGGAAGAGAACTTTATTCCCAGTGGAACAGTGCTCAGAGCAGGGATCTGGGGTCCAGGTGACACGCCACCTGTGTCAGTGGTAGAGTGAGAGCCCCCTCAGGGAGGCGAAGGGCAGAGGGCTGGGGAGAGTGTACAGATGAAGGTGAGGGCTGTGGAGGAAGGTTATGTGCGCCATTTATAGCCCCTGCACCTTCCTCTGTTGAGAAGCATGTGGAGAAGCCCTGCGTTGGCCCAAGCTGCCAGAGCCCTGGGGGTAAGGGAGTGCCCCGAATGGGAGGGGAGCGGGAGGCAGAGAGTGGGAGGGTCCTGGTGCTCTGCCACTTGTGTTGCCCGCTTGGCTTGGGTGAGGACCAGGGCCAGGCTGCTCAAGTCTCACCCCTTTTCTCAGGTTGTTTCCAGCCAGAGCCTGTGGATTGTGGATAACCAAACCCAAGTGTTTCCTTGATATAAATAGCCTCACTATTTACTTGCTTCCCAGCAAAGTTTGGCACACCAGAGAGTTTGTGCTGGCTGGGGCTATTTGTGTGCTGGAGGGCCTGGGGAAGAGGAGGGCCTGGAGGCCTGCAGGATGGGGAAGGCAGTAGATGGGCTGATTACAGCAGCCTCAGAGGTTGGGGGAGCCCAGCTCTGGGGTGGGGCATTTGAAATATCTGGAGCACTCTGTCCATATTTATACCTTTCAAGTTAACCCCTTCATCTCTGATCTCCTAAGAAAGATCTGGAAAAAAGTATCAGGACAATGGGGAATTTTGGGGTCTCCAGGGATGGCCACAGCTGAGGATTCTGATAAACTGGGGTGATGGCATTCCAGTTGGAGGATTCTGTCGCATGACCCCCAGGGCGCCCAACCTTGTCTGGATGTTGTGGTCTTCTGGGAGTAAAACGTGGCACAAGCTGCCACCATTGCCTAGTGTTTCCTTATCTTTTTTCCAGACCACTCTGGTGGTGGGGCCCTTGTCCCACCACAGTGCAGCCCTTGCTCCCGCTCTGAGCATCTCGGCTACGTCTGTTACTCATGGGCTGGGCTCCCTGGCAGGAGGAGGCCTGAGGGGCAGCACCGGGGCAGGGAGCTCTGGTGCTGCGCTGGAGCAGAAAGGGTCATCCCAGCGTGGGCTGAGGCTGTGCAGCTGGGCTGAAGAGTCAGATGTGAGGTTTCCTGGAGCCTGAGTTCTGGGGGGTGAGGTGAAGACAGAAATGGCTGAGGGCCCAGGGCCAGGCTTGTTCACCACTGACTTCGCTAGTGAAGATCCTATGTCAAATCTTACCGAGACTAACTGACCTTCCATCTAAAGCAAATGGTCCCCTTGACAATTAAACAGTGGGGTGAACAGTAGTTGATTAACAGGATAAATGGATGACTTGGGAGTAGGATGGAATTGGAGGACAGGAGTGAGGAGGAGGAAGGTTCAGAACTAAGGCTCCAGGCCACAAGTGTGCCCTCAGGCCTCCTTACTTGTGGGACTGGGACCCTGAGTGGAGGCAGTGGAAAGACTGTGGAGCTGTGCAGGCCTGACTGTTTTGTGTGTCCTGGGTGGCTGCACTCAAGGTCAGAATGTCTGTCCCTTAGCCCCTGGAGACTAGAAGATACTGTCTGTCCAAAGCAGGAAGGGTTCTTGTAAATCTCAGCAGTAAAATGATTCCCTTTGCTGATCATTTTATCAGCAGCCTTTGATGATTTCTAATCACTACCTGCTCCAGGAAGGATAATTTGTCTATCTACATGCAGCTTGTAATAGGCAAGACTGAGATTTGAATCCAAGTCTGTCTTGCAACCACTCTCCATGACGAAGTGATGGCTGGGGCTCTATCAGCTGCATTCTCTCAGGCAGGTCTGGCTCAGTTTGGTTTCTTTTGAAAGTAGAAGCTAAGATAGGAGCTTTTGGGCAGAAGATCTGAAGGAGCAGGAGCCAGGGAGTGAGTGGGGAGTGAGCAGGAAAGCAGGGAAAGCCAAGACAGGGGTTCCTTAAGGACGGTGCTAGTGCATGCAACAGGCTCCATTTCCCCATCTCCCAAGGAGAGTATGGAGTAGCCCCCAGATGTGAAGTGTCCACTCCAACGACAGCAGGTAGAATGCTGATCCATGCATGTTCATCTCGCATCCATCGAGGGTTGCCTCTGGGGATTATTAACTTCCCCACACTTCCAACCAAAGAGGAAGATGCTGCCCAAAGTGCAGTGAGTCAAGGCCCACAGGAAACAGCCTGCC